TGATTTCTCGGGTCATCCATGCCTTTTTATTGGATTTCCAAGTCGCTGGTAGATCCTTAATAGCAACGTTTTTTAAAGCACGGGGACGAGCCGCTTTCCCGATCACAATCAAATCGCATTTTTCACCGGCCATATTTGCACAGAAAAAAATGGTTAGTCTATCTTTAGACAACTTTCCACCCACACATGTTTCTCCTTTAAAGGACAGAGTTTTGTCGGGCAATGCGCGAAAAAAAGTCCACTCTCATCTGCGTTGTACACATCTTCTGGTTTGTAGCCAAGCAACATGGACGGAAGTTTCTCCAAAAATTGTGACACATCAACTTGATCTACTGCAGCAGCTTCGCCAGATATGCATTTGAAACTCACACTATGTCTCTTGCGCCACTTTTGCAGCCACCCGTCGGACGCACTGAAATTATTATAGCCCAAAGTAGTGGCGATTTCTTTAGCTTTCATTTTCACTAACGGCCCTGAGATTGGAATGTTCTGACTTCTAGCTTTCACAAACCACTCAAAACATGTTTTGTCTATAGCAAAACCTTCCTTTTTTAAAAAATCCTTCTTTTGATTTATATTAGTTCCTGATTGCCATTTACTCCTGATATCTTCCTTATTTTTGGCAATTTCAGCTGCTTGCGTTTTCCCAATATTAAACCTCTTTGCCAAATGACGAACTGAAACACTTTCTCTGTCTAATACGTTTACAACTTCCATCTTTTCCTTTAACGAGAGCATCCTTTTTTTTGGTGCCATTTTACAGTTACAATAATAAAATACGTAACTCAGTCAACTACGAATTTGCCTGAACTGAAGACAAGGCACAAGATTACATACAGGCTACCCAACATAATGCGTAAATGGGGAATCACCTAATATAAATCGGGGAATTACCGAATTTTATGTATGTAGATATGTGCATTGCAATAAGCGGAACTAAAAAATCGTCCGGGTATTAGAGTTTCGCGTCCGCTTATGGGAGATTTTTGATCACATACAGGAAAATCTAGTGTCCGCGTCCGTTTATAAGAGCGTCCGTTTATCGGAATGCATTTAAGCAAGGAGAGCTTTCACTGTATTTCGAAAACTAAGGCTATTTTCGTCTAATATGATTATACTATATGAGCTTGGCACTTTATAATAAATTTCAAATCAAAATATCTTAGATTTTTGTTTTTAGTGCATTTTTTTTTGTTTGAAAAAAAATGTTATAATAATCTATTCTAAAGTGCAGGAGTGTCCTTCGATTGTCGACTGGTGCTGATTTTGTAGAAAGTAAATTGTGACTCCATGATAGTTAAATGAAATTAATTATCTTACTGAGATTTAAAAAAAATGAAACATTACAAATTTCTGTATTTGAGGACTAAAAAAAGGGGCCGAGGTTCTCTACCTCATGACTTGATGAAAAAAAAATCGGTTTAAACCCTATATTTCGCAATTAAAAAATTGAATTGTAACATTTTTTCGTCTAGGTTACACCTCGCACGTTTTTGGCCGAATAATGTGTCCACTTACAGGTTTTCTCGGAATTCAGTTCAATTTTCGTTAGATTACCTGGATTAAAAATCGACATATGCCCGACTATTTTTTACATAATTCAAAGAACTTATCGTATGTCGGACATTGTCAAATGATTAATCGTGCCCATAAATGATTCCTTACGGATGCTTCTGTCTGTGAATGGAGTCCGGGACTTCCCTATGTCGAACATATTCGAGCGAACTGACGCGCGACGCAAATACTATGCATAAACGCGGCCTAACAACGCATCCAGAAAGCTACAACGGATATTTAATATTTTTAATGTAGCGTATAATTCGAGTAAATTATTTATAGTAATAGCAGTTGTGACAAGCAACAGTGCGCGGGAACTTTTTGTTCTATTAACGTGTAATTTTAAGTATTCTTACAGTTTACATATTTCAATAAAACCTAGAATCGCCGACGTGGTTTCAGGTATGTGTATAATTTAGCAAAATAAAATTGAATATTTAGGAAGTTTTAATGTTTCATTTCGCCTCTTGGTCCTCGGTGCTCAACGCATGTATCTGATGCTCAACGAGTTTAGTATCTTGACGTCTTTTGTCAGAGGTTATAGACGACTCTAACAACAAGACTGTTGCGTCCCCAAGCAGTGATAACCTCGCATGTCTCTCGTCAGATATGAAGTCGCTGCTAGTCTTTTCTTCCAGCTCCCTGGCAGAGATCGGCTTGTTAATGCATGTAAAGTGCTGTCATCAGCAAAGCTGTGGATTGGATTGATCGTACAGGAAAGGAGGTCGTTGATATGTAAGACGAACAGTGTTGGAGCTAAGACAGATCCCTGGGGAACACCCGCGTTGACGATCCTCGTTTGGCATTGGCCCTGTATATGAGCTCGACCGTTTCTTAAAATACAGGGTGTAAACGTTATGGTAGTCATCATTGAAATGGGTAATGACCCAAGGACAATAGACAATAGATTTTTGTCTGAATGGCTTTATAGTTTACAACTTCAAGTGCTTTATATCGACCACAATGTTACTAATTTTTATAATCTAATCTAAAATGCTTTTAAATTGGGTAATTAAAAAATAAATGGCATTAAGTTTTTCTAAGTGAATCCAAAATTTGTAGTCGGTAAGTTTCATTAGTTTAAATATTTAAAACACACATGACAACAGCTCGTCGGTCTTTAATCACTCTTATCGAACCGGCAAACGATCGCAAACAGTAACAGTGGTTAGTTAGTTTTGCATAGATAAATTACTGTATCGTTTTGTCGAGCAGAGCATCGGGCGTGTTGTTTTGTTTTT